TGCCCCACAGCGGCCCCACAGCGGCCCCGCAGCGGTCCCGCGGGGAGCACCGGGCCCACAGCGGGATGGCGGGGATAGGGGATGCCGGAGGTTCTGGAACATGATTATTTTTAGGGACAGTAAAACGTTGTGGTGAACGCTCCTTGCAGGAAGCCTCACAACTAATTATAGCTCCTCATTACGGGCGCATTAAATTTCTGTTAAGAAATACATTAAAAGATAAAAAGTGGCGGAAATGTCAGGCCACTAATAATATAAACTAAATTTTCCATTTTTGAATAAAACCTGTAGAAGAGGGTCTGCAATATTGAACTAAAAGACAGTGCACCTTGTAGGCAGAAATCATCATCATCTCCGTGTCAGGAGCACATAAACATTTCAGATCACAAACAAAAAGTGTTTTTGAAACGATGTTTGTAGAGGCTAACAATCATTTCCTTCCTTAGCGCATAATGAAGCTGTATTAAAAAAATATTTGCATTCCCTATTTAAGCAGCTTTGCAGATGGCCAACTGACTTAGATTAGAGAATATTTACTGGCTTGTTTATTCCATTGCAGCCACCACAATAGGAGGACCAGCACCTCCAAAATCTGCCTGGGCCACTGGCAGCACCAGCCGCTGGGAACTCGAGTCCATTATGAAACCAGGGCGAAGTGAACAGCTGGCTCGAATGAACGCCTGGGAGCCCATACCCTTGCTCTCCCTCAAATAACAATGTTTATTGCATTCTTATTACACTGAAATTAAATCAATAAGCATTTGGGAAAGCAACATCTACAGGATGGTGTGTGGGAGGACATTACAATATTATCCTTTCGAGCAATCTCTTACTTCTCTCTCCCCATTTGATAATAAAAACAGTGAATGGACAAATGTCCCTTTCACACTTTGCTCCTCTGCTTTTTGTTCTCTGTCACTCTCCCTAAAACAACACAAACTAACTGAGGCGTAACAACACAAACTAATAGTTTGTCAGATTCCAGAGTCTGGGATGCATTTTTGCCGCTCTGTATCTATTTGGATGGAAGTGCAGAACTGCTGCAGCAGCCACAAAGCACAAGAGGTCCCATACATCCCTCTGGCTCCTCTCATGCTGGAGGAGAATCATGACTATAGATAGGAGTCCATACTGACATTTCTGCCATCTCTCCTGTGTCATCTCTCAGCATACTGTTCCACCCCCACCCCCCCCAAACTTCTCTGCTACTTAAAGCAATTACAACTCGAGTGACTCATTACACTGCAAGTCTTGGAGGCACTCCCCCATAGAAGAAAAGCTCTCCCTGTTTTCTATGAGATCCACTTTCTGCTGGTATTTGAGTGAGACAGTGGCAACCCAGACAGAACTGCCATCCAACACTTCTTCTCAAGTAGTTTTTTACCCCTTAGTGACTTGGTAGGAGCAACAAATACACAAACTCAAATGAAATGGAACTGGAATGCTCCAGTGACACGCAGTGCAAGGCAGTGACTTGCAGGTGGTAAAGTGCCTCTCCCTGAAAGATGAAGACTCTGAAGTTACCTACATGTGCATCATCTTTCAGATTTCCTTGAGCTGACAGCTTCCCCACCTACCTGTGTGAAGTTTTACAAGGCAACAATGAAGGTAAAGAAAAGTACTGATAGAGAAAGTGAGATAACAAAAACACAAAATAGAAAAAATATGCTAAAAAGAAGCTCAGCAGCAAAGTTAGAAATTAGTTAGAAACTTTCCCCTGAAAACAGAAACAGGAATCTAGTCAAGAAACAATGGTCTTGTTATATTTTAGAAACTAGAAGTGGAATAATTAGAGGCACATCTTAGTAATACATAAGAAGTCTTTTCTAGCATCCTAATTATGGATTTAGTCCTGTAAATTTTTACTTGCATAAGAAGTTTGTACTTGCAATGAATACTAAATGCTTTGAAGACGTTTATGCTGTTCTTTAAAAATTTGTTTATTAGGAGACTGAAACAAAGCAGTACATTGTAGCATCTAGTTATGAAAAAGAGAATACCCATTGCATCCTAGCATCGTGGTACTCTCCTTCTTCTAATAAAGTGAACACCACAAATGCTGAAAACATTTGGATTAAACGAAAAAGTTTGTAATTTAGGTACATGTTTTTTAAACTGAGGATTAATCTGGCAAATACCAACAAGCAAGCTGCTCCTGTTCAACATAAGCACGCTATATTTTGCTTCTGAGATTAAGAATTATATTTGATCTTTATTGTTTTATTGTTGTTTATAAAAGGGTCTAGATATATGTAAACGTTTACATGCATAAGTATTTTACAATCCATAGAATCACTTTAAAAACAGTGCACTTGCAGAAAAATAGTAATATGAAAATATATCATACTACAATGATATTCATATAATATTTATGTTATATGTGAAATACAAATTATGATATATTCTTGTTCAGAAAATCTTTCAAGCTCTGACAGAATTATTTGACGATTTAGACATGGAAAAACTATTTTATTATCCTCCACTAGAGGGAGAGAGAGCCACTCTTGTTGCTGGGCAGATTCTGCAAACAGTTTCATTCTGCACCATTTAAAGCAATGATGTCAAGTTTGAGGGGGGAAAAAAAACCCCGAGCAATTTAGTCCATTATAATATCAAATATGAAGTAACTTCTAAAATACTAAAGTCCTGAAATCTAAAATTTCATTGCTGCTAGGTTATTTTCTGGAATCAATACCACACCATGTTGATTTCTTAAGACATGGCTATTAACATATTTATTAAAACATCTGAAATAAATAGCAAAACTAACAGAATTGTAATATTGAAAAAGTTACTAATCTGGTAACAAAACAAAATTACCTATATTGTACTTTTCATTCTGTATTGGATATGTAACATTCCTACTGCATCGTTTTCACTGCTTGCTTAGAAATCAGAGCACTATTTCTTCCACCCAACAGGTCACTATCTATCTCAGAAGCTCAGATAAGTCTCATCTCCCTAAAGACAATTTGACAGTAACTGTTCAGAGTGTCAATGTTTCCATTTCACCTAAATACCCTGATGATTCAGTCTATGATATCCACAAAAGTGTCTGTCACTTTCAGTCCTCTGGGCTCATGGTCCTGCTGGTTTGCTGTTTGTGGCAGGGTAAGGAAACAAGCGCTGGTGTCTGTGTGCCCACAGAACGTGTGGGAACTGCCCCAGCCCACAGAAACATGAGACACTTGGTTTAGCTCAGAGTACTAAGCAGGACTAAGCTTCTGGTGGCATTTGTAATGTCATTTGGAAAGTGGGCACAGGATGCCCAGTACCTGAAGGACAGCCATGGATGGCACATAATCGAAAGCTGAAATGTTACTTTAATTTAAAACCCACTGCAGAATGAGTAAAGAAGAAAGGCTGGCAGGGGTTAATATGTCAATTGTCAAAGCAATAATCTAGCACTGGAAGTTTAAGTGACCTTGAAAAGTTGTAAATATTTCTTTATATACATGAATAAACTAAGCACAAGGCAACAACTATTTGGTTTGTGCAGTTGTGTTTGTATAGATTTCAAAAGAAGCCCTCTGTCTATGCTTTAAGAACAAAAACTTAACAAGGAAACACAAACCAGGCCTTAATACAATGTTTGAATTTAATTCTGAAGTTTATAAAATGCTCACAAATAAAAAATCCCATTAAATATATTTCTATTCTGCAGACTTGTTTATATTTATAGAATTCTTCTAGGGAACTGGAGGCAGTTTAATAACACATTCCTTTTCTCTGTCTCCGTTGAGGGAAAACTATAGTTATTGACAGTATGAGCGCTATGCAGACAGAGATTGAAAAAACCCCAATGAAACAAGCAAACGATATTGGAACAGTTACTGAGAAGGAAGGAATGGCTCAATCTTAGACACATAATGGCAGCTTTGTACAAATACTTCTGGCTGAGCTGTCACAGGGATCTCTGTTGCAGGATCTGTGGGTTTTTTGGCCTAATCGAGATCAGTCACACTCCAGCTCTCCAAAACAGCCCATGCAGATGTGGAGAGTACAACGCAGCAGAACACTGAGCATACCCTGGCAGCTTCACACAACGTGAAAATCCCTGGTTCAGGTACTGCTGCAGATGGCCTTATGAGATATGAGCCACTAATGGCACACTGCAGTTTAGTTGTGAGCTGAGGAAGTCACCTGCTGTAACTTGGCTGAAATATTTACAGCTGTCAGTTCAGTGGAGGACAGTGTATGTGTCTCCTTCTGTCTTTAATCACTGTTTACCTTCTCTGCTCTCATTAATCATAACACCATTGCTGTTCTGGTGTTTAAAAAATACCTTTTCTGAATATATTGCTTTGGGATTTTACCCAAATCAAGTTATTGTTGTGTTAGGATTTCATGAAAGCTTTGATATTTCACAAACTGTTAATAAAGAATATAATACTTTGGCAGTGGTGCTGCAGCAAATAAAAAGGGAAACAGAAAGAAAAATCACACAGTTCAAATCAGTCTCAGAAAAACTCAATGTTTACAAGCACAAATGCTTTTATATTATGTTTCAAAATGTTTACGGACTAGAAGATTCTTTTGACTGAAATGTCTGTGAAGATAAGCAGTAAGAAAACTACAGAGCAAAGCTAGGTATATATTTTAAACTTTATGCTTAATCTGCAAATTTATCCAAATTTATTGGTTTGCACAATACATGTGCAAAACATTGACTTCATATCCACTGGAGTAAAACATTTCAAGAGCAAGAATTTAGAAAGCTACCGCACACAGATCAGACATAGCCTTGGTACCACTGAAATAAATACTTGCATTTATATTTACTAGACCTTGCTGGAATTAATTTGGTATCTTTACAACAGGTGCAACCAAGTCATGCACTGAATGCTCTGAGATCTCTTACATGCCCAAGTCTGACCCAGAGGAAGTGACTGCAGTGCCAGTGTGAGTCATGTCGGAGGCCCCAAGTTCTCTCTCCTCACACGGTACTTCAGATGTTCAGCCAACTGCAGCCACACCCTTATGCTCACACGTTTTAAACCAGAAAAGCAAGATATCGCCATGCGCAAAATGTGTTAGTTTGCACTTAGGATTAATAGGATTTTTCTTGATAAGATAGTTTATTTTACCTTCCCAATATACAATTTTGATTGCTAACATAGAAAGCTGAAATTAACACTGCAAAAAGGGACTGTTTTATTATTTCTTCTTTTGTTTTGTGAGCGAGTGTAATTCCTCCTGTGCTGTGACTTTCTGAACCAGGGAAATAACTATTATGAGTGGCAGAACACACATTTTCCTGTGGATGTCTTTACCTACAACATGGAAATGTAGGTTTGCTGTTGCTGCTGGGACTGAAGAACTTAAAAATCTTTGGGTGGCAGCAGTTCAGTTCAGAAGCAGCAACCACCGTACATACTCCTGCCTATCCAATGTACTCTGCTAGCTCTTTAGGCTTCTTCTCCAGCTCAATATCCTGTTCCTGCTCACTTTCTCCTTTCATTCTTGCTGCACTTCTTGTGGCAGGATGAACCTGGTTCCAACCTCTCATGTGAGGCAATACTCAGTTTTGCTGGGGGAACCTCTAATATAAATCTTGACAAGTCACTGGTAAAATAGCCTCTCCAATCTCAGGCAGGACTGTTAACCTCTGCAGCATCTCCAGCTGCTGAGAAACATCCATTGGTTCTTTTAACACAGTCCAGGAAATGTTTACATTTCCCACAGGATACACAGAGGATTTTTTACACTATTTAATTGTAAGAGAGTAGCCTTAGATTAAATGCTACAGAGAAATTCTTCCCTGTGAGGGTGGTGAGGCACTGGCAGAAGTTGCCAGGAGAGGCTGTGGCTGCACCATCCCTGGAAGTGCTCAAGAGCAGGCTAGGTGGGACTTTGAGCAACAGGGTATAGTGGATGGTGTTCCTTACCACAGGAGGGGGTTTGAAACTACATGGTCTCTGAGGTCCAGTCCAACACAAACCATTCTATGATTCTGCACTGTCCTCCTAAAGGATCTGAGGAAATTGGACAGGACCTCCTGTATCTGTGGCTTCTGTAATGCATCTGCTCTTGGAGAGAGAAGACAGAAAAGACAAGTAGTTATTCTCCAAATGGAAATCTCCATGCCAGCAATGATAAAAATGTTGCTTTTTCCTCTACTTTTGAATTCCATTCCCATGGCCTATCCTTAGTATTGGGTGAACTTGAAGATAGCAAATTAGTTCATTCTTTCCCAGTTGAGTAAGATTCTGCAGCTATCGTGGGAGTAGGCGGGGGAATTGCTGAAAATGTTCATACTTGCTCAGAGTGTTTTTTGATAATGTTGTTTTGTGGTGAATCCACCAAAGATACCCAGGATTCTCCACAGACAGGCAGTGAGAAAAGAAGAAAATATGTATTATTTCTGTTTGGCAGTCTGGAGTTACCAAAATGAAGAGAGGGCACAAGCTTTTAGGGAGTCATAAGAAAGCTGTACTACTGTGCAGTCTCTGGCAAATGATAATATCATTTTCATTTTTGCCTTTTTACCCAGCACCAATGCAACATGCCCTTGCAAATATACAGAATTCTTCAGTCACCCAAAGAGGCTCATGGAAGAAAGAGGAGACAAAATCTATAAATACCATAAATCATCTTTCCTTTTAAAAGTAACTGTGTAACAAAGAATTGGCCGGGTTGTTTGGTGATACTTTGTACTGGTTAAAAGTTCAGCAGTTCAACAAAACTGGGAGAAGGATTTTTTTTTTTCTGTTCTGTATCTTGGTGCTGCAGCAATCACGCTCCTATTTCAAACCTTTCCTTCCTCATCAATCACTGCAGTGCCACCACTTCATGGAAAGCAGGGTGTCAGCTTAGTGAGAGCTTTAGGGAGGAGAGTGATCAGCACTACAGCAATAGTAGAGGAAAAGTGCTGGGAAGATTAATAGCATCTTATATTTTTATCAGTACAGATTTCCAGAGGTTGAATGGTCTGAGATCTACAGCTCAGCTGCCCTTTTGAGCAATGGGGATTAAGCAAGTGGTTGAAGCTGAGGAGTATGGTCTGAATGAATGAACTGTGAGATGGGTTAAAACTGGATGGAATCCTGGGCTTGAAGAATTGGAATCAATGGGGTGATGTTTAGTTGGTGACCTCCACAAGCAGAACACTCAGGGGTCAATACCGGTTCCAGAATTGTTCATTACCTTGATTTTAGCTTGGATAGTTATACAGGGTGCACCTGCAGCAGATTTTCAGACAATATTAACTTAGAAGGCGTGATTTTCAAATCAAATAGTGGAGGTTCAGTTGAGAGGCCTTTGGAAAACTTAAAAACTGAGACAACAGAAACCTTACAAAATGTGATGAGGAGTGCAAAGTGAACACATGGGGTTGAATAGTGCCAGGCACCAGTGCAGGCTGCCAGAGCAGCAGCAGCAGCTGAAGAGCATGTGGCTGTCACAGTGGACGCTAAGCTGAACATGAGCCAACAGGGTGTTTTCGTTGTGAATAAAGTGAACCACAGTCTGATCTACATTAGGAAGGGAGCATGGACAGCAGATGAATGGAAATTATTATCCCTCCTTATTTAGTGATAGTGAGTCCACAGCTGGGATAATGTGTCCTGTTTGGGGTTCCCCAGTCCAAGAAGGATGTCAAGAAACAGGAGAGGGGCATGCAGATGGCCAATGAGATGGCAAATGGCCTACAGCATACAACTTGTGAAGAGATTTAGAATAAGCTGGGCTTGGTTTGCCTGGCAGAGAAGAAAATAAGGGGATATCTGACAACAATCTAAAACTACACAAAGGGGAGTGGCAAAGATTATCGAACTGGACTCTTATCAGTAGCAGCATATTGCAAAACCAGAAGGAAAAGTCACAAGCCGAGTCCTTGGAGTTGTGACTGGATGCATGTGATTGTGTATGGCTGGTGCTACACAGGAACATGTGGCTACACAGAAAGGCTGGCCAGTCTCTATCGCTGAGGGCTTTCAAGGGCAGCGTAAACAAGGCCATGACTGACCTGCAATACCACAGGTCACAGTCCTGCTTCAAGTGGAAGGCTGGACCCCAGAGATCCCTTCCAACTACCACTTCTAGTACTGTGCTGCCACAGTGCCCCCCAGACAGTAAAGGAAATTGAGTTATCAGTTCTTTCTACTTCTGCCTTCTTCCCTCGCTCCCTCCATTTCTCTTTCCATCTAAGTTATATTATGACATCTGATTACCTTTATGTTTAAGGGACTAGTAAAATATTCTTCCTTTTTAGTTGGGGTTACTCTGCTTGCTGTCCAAGCATTTTACACAGTTAAGATTTCTAAGGTACCAGACTCTGTCAGACTCTTTTTACCTCTTATTTTACTGGATCAGACACCTTACTCTTCTTCACTAAAAACTGCAGACTTTTTCTGATACCAAAGAATTGTTCTCTCCATTCTTACAAAATGGACTTTTTTCCTCACTGAACATAATTCGTACTCTTGCTGTTACACCTGCACAGTTTAATGGTTACAATTCAAGTAGATACACAGATACTCAT